GTGGTTCTACCGAGAAATAATCGATACAAATTGACCAATCAAAATACATTAACGCTCATGATTTGATAATGAATCGATGATTCATCTCGATTTGTCGGTAGACTATTAGTTTATTTCACGGTACTTCTTCAGATCGACGACACCCTGATAAAGAGGAAAGGAAAATTTTTCTTTCCTCTTTATCACACGACCAATGAGAGAGGGGTATCGTCGATCTGAAGAAGTACCCTGGACTATCTATCAATCTACTTCGAAAAAGTCCATCAAAGATTTTATATACGATAATATAATTTTTATAGAAAACTATCTGAAGATCATTAGCTACTTATATAGTAATGTGCACTGGTCCTACAATGAAAATTTGACGTTAGTATCTGTTTTTGTTTGCTTATTATATGACATTCAACTGTTTTTATCTTATAATTTGAAAAGTAATAAACACTAAGCATGACTTTGGTAAAATGTGGATTATGTTATTTCTTTTGTTTGTTTTTTTTTCTTTCTTTCTTTCTTTCAACTAGTCTAGAAGAGTCTTATACGTCTTTATATATTATTTCTAGATGATTTCTTTTATGTTGATAAATTTTTGCTTATTTTTATCTATATTCATTATAATGAAAATATAGATATATACTCAATTGTATATTTTTAAATTAGAACAAAATTAATCAGTAAATATTTTAGATAGTTCAACGAGACCATTCAAGGATTTATCAATCTATAATTAAAAAAAAATTTGAAAGCATTGTATCAACATTAAAAATCAACTTTTTAACAAAATTTCTAAAGAAACAATACAGTATTGCATTGTATAATAAACTTAATTACTTTATAATCAAGGTCAGAAGAATATCAGCCTCTATTCAGAGGACATTGACATATTAACTGAACATTTTTTATTAAATGTACTCATATTTTTACATTTTTTTCAGCTTATATATTAGTGAATCAAAAGACACAACTTATTCGTTTTGTGAATGATAAATAATTTCTATTTGATTTTACTTTAATTATTGGAATACATCATCCTTTTGGTTCGACAACTTAACATTTAAAGGAGGACTTACATTTTTTTTTCTGAAAACCATACGATTGTTTTTTTTTTTTTTTTTTTTTTCTTTTTATAGAACAAAAACCAATATTCTAGAATACAGAAAGACTGTTGGCGCAATATATTCGGTGTACTTCTATCCTGTAAAAGTTCTATGATTTATATTTCAAGATGTTTTCAAATAATATTTTTCAAAAAAATTCATTTATTAATTTATTCATAAGAAATTTGCAGACTCTAATAAATAAATCAAATGATTTTCATTAGTCTATACTCAAATTTAGTTTCTTATTAAAAAAAAACAATAAAAAAAAAAAAATTTGCACTGCATTATATTTATCATTCAGTGCGTTGTACTTTGAAAGAAGGGTGAAAAAACATTTTACTCTTCTCCCAATTTCTATTGCAAGATAGTAAATAAAGAAATATAAGTTAGAAAAGCATAGACGAGAGAAAAAAAAACGATTATTTGTCTATCAAATGACTATAAATAATAACATTAAAAGTAAATACGCTTTGATTCATCACATATGTATGCTGGAAAAACCACTAAATCATAATTCTCAAAGTGATATTTACATAATCTCTATCATCATACAACACAATAGTAGAATGTAAGTATTTGTATTTATCTCAAAATCGCTTGTAAATAATGAATGATAAATATAGAAATAGTTAATTATTGATTAAAGATCTTAAATGAAAATGAAAACCAATTTTTATCATAATGCACTTGAAGTAGTCATTGACCTTGAACACAATAACCTATATTCTTGATATTGGCAATGTGCAATGTATCATTACTAAAGTGTTGATTATTTTTTTATTTAAAACAATTTTTGATTTTCAATTTTTTTTAAATATTCAATTGATTATAAGAGTTGACAAGTCTTATTTTCGATGCTAAATCTATATCTTTGGGAAGAACAGAATTATTTGATTTAACTGAATTTTATTGACACAACTAACGTAACTTTTATATCTTTGAATGAATGAAAAGCATATCTATTGACATAGGAAAAATTTTAGGTTAGTTATCATGTGCTTGAAAAAAAAAGACAAAACGTATTCTTATGAATTATTATTTTTACATGATCAGATAGAAAAGAAAAGGATTTTATGTAATTTAGAAGTGAAATCTATCAATGTGTACAAATGATGATCTAAATGATAAAAAAAAAAAACCAAATCAATCAATAAATATATGTCAAGTGTGTGGAGATAATGCATCAATAATTAATTACGGAGCTTTGTCTTGTTTATCATGTCGTACATTTTTTCGTCGGAATGGTTTACCTCATAAAGTTTGAATATCTAAACAAATATTGGTTTGGTTTTTTTCTTAATATTCTATATTTTTACAGGAGGTTCCAGCATGTCGTTATGATGGTGATTGTGAAGTTAATATGTTAACAAGAAAAGTTTGCCAAGCATGTCGTCTTGCTAAATGTCTTGCTGTAGGCATGAAATCAGATTTAATTCGTAAAGCAGATTTAACTAGGGAAAAACAAAAGTCTGGCAAATCGAAAACTGAAGAAATTGCTGTGGTGGTACGTAAAAATTCAAGTATGTTCTTATAACATACTGAAATAAGATGAGACATTTGTGAATGACTAAAAGTTTAATGAATAGTAAATGTATGGTAATTTTCCGAGCGAATGGCTGCACTAGTTTCAATTCTTTTTGAAAAAAAAAACTTTTATTGGTAATCAGTTCCTTTCATATGAGCTGATGCGCTGCTAAGAATTTCATATCATTTTAACAATTACATTTTGGATTCTTCCAAGTCGGACTATGTAGTAGAATCACACAAATAGGCCAGAATAGAGTAGTCAGAAGCTTACGAGGGAAGTCCTCTAAATGATTAATCACTTTTGGGTCGAGACTATCTACTTGGTTGCGGTGAAGATATTTCATTTTTAAGGTAGTTTTAAGTCAATGTCATGGTCTCCCTCAGGAATGGAAGAAAAACTGGTTTTCGAATTGAAATTTCCCATAGAGACAGAACTTAATTAGAATAATTTATTGTAAAAATTTCATATAATTTCGTTGTTTCTATTGTAAGATAAAGCTATGATAAAAGCTTACGTTTTACACTGCTCATGTGTACTAGTATTCTAGAACCTGATCAGATACTTAAAGCCCTGCCTTGGTGGTTTGGATGCCGGTCATAAAAAATGTCAGTTCGGATTCAGTTGCAAAAAGTCGTACCCATAAAGGACAATACTGATATACATCGACAGATTTTATGTTCTTATTTTAGGAAAAGTACAAATAAAAAAAAATCTAAAACTTTCACAATAAAATATTCTTGTTAAGGTCTCTCTCTCTATACTAAGTTTCTAGTCGAAATTTGAAAATGAGTTTTTCTTGTGTTCCTGAAGGGACCGGACTTCAAAGCGAAATAATCATTTAAGAAACTTCTCTCGTTCGTGTCAGCTCATATGAAAAAAAAAAAGGTCAGTCGATAGTTTTCATAAAAGAACTAGTTCATTGAATTGGAAGCTGTCACATGTCTAATATATATACATTGTTCTGACAATCAAAATAAATATAATTCGTTCTTAGTCACACTGTTTTTCTTGTTGAAGACTGCTATGCAAGAGATTCGTTCACTTCTCAAGTACTTCGACATATTATTTTCAGAATGAATAATAGTTTTAAATAAAATCATCTCTTTTATATTTTACTTTTTAATCTTGTCGAAATTTCTTTAACAATTTCATCTCATTTAGGCTATACCACAACAATCTGCATTGGATCGACCACCCGATGGAGATTTATTTCTTAATGCTTCAGATTGGACTCTGATATCTAATATTGTACATGCTTTTGATACATTTAGTCCTGTATCTGAAGTACGACGTACAATTGAAAATTCAACAACATCAGCATCAAATATTCAATATGATATATCTCAATCACTTAATTTAATGTCATCATTTTATAATTCTTTACAATCATTTATAAGTTCAACACCTGATTTTAAGGTACTTACATTAGATGAACAACGTTCGTTATTTCAACGTAATATGCTTGGCCTTTTATGTGTTGGTGGAATGTATTTAATGCGTGAATCAGGTATATTTGATAAACCTGAAAATGAATCAGTAATGTTGCCATTATATGGTATAGAAGTAACTCAACAAGCGAGATTAATTTGTCGACAACTCAATTTTGATCCAGTACTTATAAAAGTTATGCTTGTTGCTCTTGCTTTTTCTTCCAATTGTTACATGATACATAATCGTGGAAATATTGATAAGGATAGTTTATTATTAGGTACATTTCGTTTATTAGGAAGTCAAAATGTTTATGTTGAACTTACCTGGAAATATTTATTGCATACATATGGTTATAATATAGCAGTACAAACATTTTCTAAACTTATCAAACAACTTCTTGACACACTTGCACTTGCAATTGATATGTATACAAACAATCACGATCATCAAATTTTTATTGATGGTATAATTAGACAAAATGAAATACCTTGGATTATTGATGAAAAAGCAACTATACCATTATGGGGTAAAAAATTATAATTGTTATGTAATTTTTTTGCGTTTCTTTTTGTTAAAATAGTTATCATTTTGTTATAATATGTCAAATATGTGAAAGTTGTATTTAATTATTATGTAAACATATATGTCAATTATTTCAAACAAAAAATGTGTAAAAAATAGTCGAATAAAGAGATACTGAAAGATATTCAACTCATATGATTTTTTTCAAATGAACTTTAAAAAAAAAAACAATACTAAAAACGATAATAAATGATTTCTTTTAAGAATTGAGAAAAATAATTTGAACTTTTTCAATTGCGATTCTAACTTTGAAATCCTTAGTATTGATAACTAAATCATCTGTTTTGTTTTTATGTCATTAATCAAATAGATTATTAGACGTTGCTTTGTCTAGTGGGATGGTAAGAAAACAAAACAAAATAAAAAAATTTTTTTATAGATGTGAAATCTAGAAGATTCTTACAATACAAATACTTCAAAAAATCTATCAAAATCAATAAGACACAAATGTAGTTCAGTTTTCCTGAATGAATATTAGATATTGCATATGATCGATATAGGGAAGTCAAATCGAAGTTCAATAGTTTTGCAATTAAGATAATATTCTTACGTCTGTAATGTTCGCCTACGATGATAAGATAGAAGAAGAGATCTATCTTCTAGTACATTGTTAGTGCATCTGCTAGGTAAGCAGAAGTTGTATGGTTTGAGTGACTTGAGGAAATGTCCTTTTTCTTGTTCTATTGATATTTCATTATGCTACTTACGAGGGAATCGCCCGAAGTGATTCAAAGCTTTTGAGCCGATATTTTGCCGATAAATAGAGTCCAATGAGACTAGAAAAAGTCCAAAATGACAAGGACCCATGGGCCTTCCTTCTCGAGTTACGGTCTTTTTACTGGGTTTATCACCTATCAGTGTCCGACACGGGTCACTTTTTTTTGTGACGCGACCCGACCCGAGCTCACCAAAATAAGACCAGACCCGACCCGACCCGAGATGAACTCCTTTTTTCGTAATCCGACCCGA